CCTCCTTCCAATAAGAGGATAAGACCTTTATCTTTCTTACCTGTAATCAAACAGATACATGCATGTGAAATCATCCTAAAGATTACTCAGTTTCTGAGCTTTGAGAAAAATTAGTTTTCCTTCCAAATCTTTAATCTTTTTAAAAAGTAAAATTTATGTTAAAAAGACTAATGTAGTTCTGAAAAAACACTTCTTATCATCAAAGCTAGAATATAGCATTCAATTATGAATTCTACAAAGCATTTAGGAGCTCTGGTAGCATAGTGGCTAAGGCACTTGACTGCTCACCAGATGGCTGGCGGTTCAAACCCATCATCCACTCCTCGAAAGGAAGGTTGGGCAATCCTACTTCTGTAGTGATACTGCCTCGGAAACCCAAGGAGGGGTCGCTATGAGTCAGGGCTGACTCGACGGCACATAACAACAACAACAACAACAAAGCATTTGGTCTCAGCCAATTGCTCAAAATCTTTTCAATGCACTCCTGAAATTTACCCTAAAATGAGATTAGAAGGCAAATTTCACTATGATCTCTCCCTCCTTAATCTGAAAAGAGCTAGTATAAGCTTTTAAGTATTTTTAAATGGAGTTTTTCTCCTTTAAAGTTTTATATTTAATTTTTATTATGTATACACAATATAAAACAATATTCAAGCTTTGTTAAGGGTTTAAAAGTAAAATAAAATTCTGAAACCTATGTACACTGATGTATGTCTACATCAGTACATTAATAAGACAATGAAAAGGCCATTTTAACTTACCACTACGATACCTGACGAAGCATTTTTACACTCAGTGTTCAACTTACAGAAGACTACAAAATAAGCTTTTTAGAAAATCAATAATCCTTACCCTGTAATAACATCATATCTCTGCGGTGTACTAAATTTCTTAGTGTGGCTTTTCTAGCCATAAGTCTTTGTAAACTCTGTGATGGAATTTGCTGTGAGCAACTGAGGAGCTCTTGATTGTAAAAGTTATCTACCTGGGCTATTTCTGTTGGGAGTGGCACTAAACAATGTTCTGGGAGGTTCTCGCGCTCTCAGGTGCTTAGAATTCTGATGTTATGATTGGTTAGTTTGGCCACCCGGCCAGGCTCAAAAGGAGGCCCTCTAGAGGCAGAAGAAGTCTCTCTCTGACTGCTGGTTGAGGAAGACGTGCTGCTGAAAGAGACATGCGCTGCTGGGAAAGAGACGCAAGAGACACGCGGAGTGAGACACCGAGGGACACGCACTGTTGGGAGAGAGACTGTGGGCTGAGAGAGAGACTAAGCATTTTACCTGACCTTGAATTGTAGCCTGGTGCTTCCCTAATAAACCCTATAATCTGAGTTCTGTGTGGCCACCACAGCGAACCCAGAAGAAAGGTGGCGAGTGCTTTGGGAGGAATGTTTGGTGAAAGGGCTAGAGGGAGGCAGCATGTCTGGCCTTGCAGGAATAGGCCTTGGGTTACTGATGGTGATCCTGTCTTCCTCTTGTGGGTTAGAGGACGTCAGGAGATGTGGCCTCCTTGCCCTTTTTGCAATTTCATAGCTCAATAAATCACAACCATCTCAAGACAAAAAGATATGCTTGTTTACTGAGATTTGAACACACCCTGGAAATAAATAAGTAGTTCTGAGAGACAGGTAATATTAGCACAACTATCAACACAGATTTTTGGCGATATAGTTTGTCCTAGAGGCAAAGAGATAGACTAAGTTTTCAAGATTCCTTTTTGCCCTAATTGAAGAAGGATCAAAGATGCTTCAGAAGAGAATCTGTGTTATTACTTTTATCTGATCCTTGAAGGTGACTATAAATGACTAATTTATAAAATGGAATCTCATCCATCAATATGATCAACCATGAGGCTTTTGTATCTGCAAATCTCATCCCATGAAACTCATCACCACAATGAAATGAGGATCCCTATAAATCTTCTGAGAATACAGTTCTTCAAAGGAAGTATATCTTGACTATGAGGAATTCCCCATTACTTTACCAAACATCCTTTAGGATGTAAACCATATGGAGTATATTATTCTTATGCTAATTAATCTTCAATTGCATCAGAAGGCAATTCTAAATTTTGAATGCAACCTGTGATACACATGTGTTAAGCCAGGGTTCTCTTAGTAATTCTGCCACACTGGTTCAAGGCAGCCAAAATTAGCTTTTGTGGCATTATTCTAATCTGAATTCTGATTTTCTTCCTATACAAATTCCTAGGCAACAGGGTAAGATTTGTAAATCTCAGTAAATGATACTCAGCTCATCTGTTCTAGTAGAGAGTGCTTATATTTAAAGTAGGTGCTTTTCTGTCTTAAGAGTTATCAGCAAGATTCATTCTCTAACAAGCAACAGCTGCTTAAAATCTTGGATGATTTAAGCGTAGAACATTTAAGATATTTTTTTTCCCACACAGCATACTTTTTAAATTTAACACGGCTGACTCTGAGAAAGTGAAAACTAATGAGAAGGAATACTCCTTGAAACACTGGGTTACTTTCCAGATGATAAAAAACAAAAAATGCAATTGAACATTGGAGTTCAGAAAAATTCCAGAGAAGAGAAAACCAGGCCTAATCCCTCTCCTTTTTACTAACCGTTATTAAATATAAAACAGTATCAACCTATGCCTCACACCTTTGAACAAGTTCAGTATTATGTAGGTGAGGTATACATAAAACATCTAAACACCCAGGACCCTATATGTTTAATACAGGTTAGTGAAAAAGTGGGTGCAGAGATGAAAACTAAGATTATACTAGAAATTCTCCCAACAAATAGATTCAGAGAAGTTGTACTAACAAACCAACAAAAAACTTTGTCGGTCAGTTTTTTTCCTTTTTTGGTTTTTTTTTTTGTTGTTGTTATTATTGTGGCTTGTCAGTAAATAAATAACACTCTATTATCAATAAACACTTAGCACACTCTGTGGATACAATATTGTTGCTACTGTTGTTGTTATGTGCCATTGAGTTGGACCCGACTCATAGTAACCCCTCCTTGGGTTTCCAAGGCAGTATCAACTACGGAAGTAGATTGCTCAACCTTCCTTCCGAGGAGTGGCTGGTGGGTTTGAACCACCAGTCTTCTGGTTAGTAGTCAAGTGCCTTAGGCACTACGCTACCACAGCTCCTGGATACAGTATTACAGAATGCTAAATGGGGGGAGAAAAAATTGAATGTAAGAATAAGTAATTAATAAGAAATTATGAAACAGAAATTCAATCTAACATCATAAACTAACAATTTTTATATAAGGAAGCAGAGTCTCCTAATGAGAGTGAAAATTATTTTCAAATACCAAATACTGTATGTAGAAATAACAGGAAAAGTATTTCCATAAAACAAATGTATGGTTTTACAAATCTAAGGTAAGTAAAAAGCAACCATCACTGTTGTATTTGCATCATATATTATAAAGCTAGGAAAATATTATAATCCAACTTGCACTATTTAATCAATGCAGTGCTCACTTTCTTCACAATATAATCCCAATAATTCATATTTAATAGTGAAAGTTATGAAATATTTATTTGCTGAAATTTACAACAGAGTAAACATAATCATTAGCAATAATGCTATAAAGGTAGCAAACATACTACCTTTAAAATTTTTATATACAGCCATGCGTTACATAACATCCATCTGGGCAACATCTGAGCATATATAACTCCATAATCCCGTAAGGTTGTAACAGACCTCAGAAATCCCGGTCGCAGAACAGGACATAGCTAACACAACAGCTTCCTGCATACAACACATGGATTTCATGTCTCTGCATATAAAGCAATTGCACTGCCAGGCATATAATAGTACAGGACATGTTATTGTTGTTGTTGTCATGAGCTGTTTAGTCGGATCCGGCTCAGCGACTCCTCCTTGGGTTTCCGAGGCAGTATCACTACCGAAGTAGATTGCCCCATCTTCCTTCCAAGGAGTGGCTGGTGGGTTTGAACCACCAGCCTTCTGGTTAGCAGTCAAGTGCCTTAGACACTATGCTGCCAGAGTTCCCAAGAAGAAAGTCTTCCCTGACCGGAAATTGAACTCGGGCCGCGGCAATGAGAGTGCCGAATCCTAACCACTAGACCACCAGGGAACACCACAGGACATATATAACCTATAATATAAATGTCTATGTTACTGGCTTATTTATGCACAGTACTGTACTTTCTAAAAAGTTTACCATGTAACAGCATATGCTTCAATTCGTAGGCAGCAACATTCAATTTTATGTATCATGAGTGTTGTAGCATTACGTCTGTTTAATTTTCTTTTGAAAATATTATTGTGAAGTGCACTGTGGCTGACAAACACAGAAAAATCAATGCTAGTGACAACAGCAGCAAGAGGCAAAGGAGAAGTTTTGATTTGGAAGTGAAACCAAAAGGTTAATAAACACCACGAAAGTAGAAAATCAGTAAATGCTACTGCTTGTGATTTAGGCAAGTTCCGTTGACAATCACAATGATCCTCAAAAACAAGGAAAAAAATTCCCCAAGTTGTTAAAGGATCAGCTTCACTGAAAGCTATAAGGCTGATGAAAATGCAAGAGGGAATCCTATATCAGATATGGAGAAATTATTATGATGTGGATTGAGCACTAAACACAAAAGTGAATCCCTCTCAGTACTCTGCACACTGCCAAGGCACGAAGCTTGTTTGAGATGCTTAAAGAAAAAGCAGAAGCACACCATGATATGGTGTTCACACAACATGCAAATCACATACGATCCTATCTCACAGCACGTGTTGTGGACATTAAGAAACACACAACTGTATTCTGCGATTTGAATATATGAGTGCGAAATAAAGTTGAAATCCAAATTAGAAACATTTTAAACATATTTAAAAGCATCAATATCTATTCCCTGATCCATATAAAATGTATTACTCTGTAGCCTATGATACCTCATGTTTCCAGATATACACAGTGACAAAGGTTTCATTAATTCAAAGTTTTCAAAAATAAACACATGCAACTTAATTTAAAAGTCCTCATAGCTGAATTTACCGTCTTATGACCATTCTGGCAGGCCACATGCAGCGCTGTCTGCCCCATCGCGTCCTCAACGTCGACATCACTGACGTGCTGCACAAGGTCATGGAGTAGTTCTGTCCGCCCATTCACAGCCAACCAGTGTATCTGTGCAGCCATTTGGTTACTTAAAATTTGTGCAAAAGTGTTTCATATAAAAGCAGCAGATAAATAATGCTATTAATTGTTTAATTATTACTTTATTATGAACATGATACACAAACTAAAGACATCCTAGGCCCATATACTTTTTCCCTACATTTTTATACTGGCAAAATATGCATCAAGGTATAGGTTAACACCACCATTTATTTCAAAATCAAGTACACATTATAGTTCAAAGAAGTTAAGTATCCTAGGCTTAGGCTCACTGAATATTTTGCCACTTAGATGATTCAATTCTATGCACAGCTTGTCTCTAGAGAAAAGATGCTATGCATTTTTCCCTTCCCTAGAAGCAAGCATAACTTAAAAAGTAATTAAGGCAGCAGGTGCCATATTCTTATTTCCTGCTTTTTACAAGTGATACAGGTATCTTAAAAAAATTATATAGAGAGGATAAAAAATAGAAAAAAAAAAATGCCTATAATCATCATTCAAAGATAATCAAAGTTAAAACTTTGGACTATACTATTTTTCATTTTATATTGTTTCTCTTTAAGAGATATATCATTATATATATATATACACACACACACATACATACACATATATACATACATATATAGTGTGTTTATATATGTGTGTATATGACTGTTATTTAAAAATGACAAGTTAAATACATGCAACAGCTTTCATTCTTCCCAAAACCCTGCTGAAATTACAATAAAGAGGACTTTTCCTTAAGGGACCAACCCATAAAGATAGGAAAAAAAAAAAAAAAAAAGGGACAGAAGGCAACAGTAACATATTTTGGAAGTCAGAAAGCAGAAAATACCTGACTCCTCAGAACAAAACGCTGAATCTTAAACCAGAAATAGAGAAAGACAAGAAAAGAGATGATTCAAAATTACAGAGCTCCCAAAGGTTCAATAACTGGTAACATCATGCACCTCTGGAAGTAAGGATGAAGGAAGGACTAAAAACAGGAGGGTCAGCTGAAAGTTTACTTAGTAAGACCTAGACTCTCAGGTCCCACCTCCTCCCTATTCTATAACAACAGAAGGTACACTGAAGCAAGGGTAGCAAATTGAAAAAGCGAGGTTAAGTGCTAGTTTATATGCTGAATATTTATATCCCAAAACCTTCTGCATTATCCAGCATCCAGAATACTATCATCTTCCTGGCATTTAGAAGGGCTTTCTCTGAGGAACAGGACAACTGAACAGTAAATGACTAAACAAACTAACATTAAGAAGGAGCCTAAAGGAAAATGTACCATGAGATCACTCTATACTGAAGCCCATAGTAAACAAACCTCACGCATACAGACACAGTTTTCAAATAACATTTTGGTGGTCCACCAGACATATGACAAAAGCACCTAATATAAGGACAAAATATAGCACAAACAAAAAGGCAAAAATTAAGTGCATAAAACAGAAATCAAAAATATTAGAATATTAGAGAAAAAAACTTCAAAAGGAAAGGCTATATGTAATACTCTCATAGAGATAAGATACTGGGTGCATCCATGAAAAAAAACAGGATGCTTTCAAAAATTTTTAAAAAATGAAAATTTCGGTAAAATGGCAAAATACGCAGACAAACTACACAGATCTTCTTCAACAAAGAAAAGGGGAACCAAATAACACAGATACAGAAGATATTCCAGGAGCTCTGAGCTTTGAAAGGAAAGATACAGAAGTGGACTAAACTCCAACTAGTGTAAGAACCTGCATGAAAACATTGAAAAAGGAGACATTTGGAGCTATGGACTTTAGCGATCCTGAAGGCACAGACAGCCCGGATATTTCCATGTGGTGTTAGGACCTAAGAATTAACCTAAAAATTGGCCCTGCTAGCCAGGGGCTGCGTGGAGAACTGCACTGGTGCCTGGTGAATAAAAAGGGAAGCAGCAAAGAGGAAGAAGGGCTGAGCTGTGGGCTTTTGGCTGTTCGGAGGGCGCAGCCATTTTGAACACTTACAGGTGGTCTGACCTCTTTCAATATTTAAAGCGACAGTGTTCTCTCAGATTCCAGGGACCGAAGAATAGGCTCCATATGCCGAGGACCACAAGAACATACCTGCCACAAAGTACTAGAAAGGTGTGATATTCCCTTGGTTACTCTTATAACCCATGCCCTCTTGGCGAACAGAGGTGCAGCCAGTGTCCAACCCTCCCTCGCACCACCTTCCAGGCTGACGGGAATTCCATCCCAGTCTGTGTGTGTTGATGAAGCGTGAGTGCCCTGCCTACCCAGATTATTTTTCCTTTCCCCCTTTTTTTTTTAGTTTGTTTTTGTCTGTTTTAAAATATTTATTTATTTTCAATCTTTTTCTTCTTATTCCTTCTTCTTCCCTTTCCAGGTTCTGTTGTTGTTGTTGTTGTTATATGCCGTCGAGTCGGCCCCGACTCATAGCGACCCCTCCTTGAGTTTCTGAGGCAGTATCACTACGGAAGTAGGATTGCCCAACCTTCCTTCCGAGGAGTGGCTGGTGGGTTTGAACCACCAGCCATCTGGTTAGCAGGCAAGTGTCTTAGCCACTATGCTACCAGAGCTCCCTTCCAGGTTCTAGTTTTCAGCTTTTTCTCTCTTCCCTGTTTCTGGTTCCCATCTTTCTCTTTCTTGTGGTTCTCCCCATTCCTTGTTTTTCTTTTTGCGTTTTTCCCATTTTTTCCTTCATTATCCTCCTACTCTACACCTCTTTTCTCTAATTTTCCCCTCCCCAGATACTGTACTTTTTTTTCCCCTTTTACTATGAATATTTCTTTTTGCTTTTTAAAGCATTTCTTTAACTATTTCTCTCATTTTTTGTCTTTCTTCCTTATTTTTTTCTTCTTTTTTTCTCTTTTTGGTGACAGTTCATGTGTGTTTATGTGGTGTGTGTTTTTTGTCCTCTTGATTTTACTTTTCTGATGGTTTTTTGATTGCTGTTTTCATCTAGCTGAGTGGGAGACAGCAATCCTGTCCATACGCCCCAACCACACCTGCACCTCCTGCAGATCCACTTACTGAGTAAGAGCTACCACTTCCTACTACACCAACTGGCCAACGACACATGACCACCAATAAGAGCCTGGCTCACCCTTAACTGCTCTTCATAAACAGTTAACAGATACCTGTGCAGCCACTCTCATTCTCTATCAACCCCACCAGGAGACACATGGTGAGTGCAAAAGCGCTGCCAACTAGCAAATAGAGAAACACAGTAGAGTTCCCTGCTTACTCAAATACATCTAAAAGAAAAAAAAAAAGAAAATCTTGGGTGAATCACTCCAACATACAATCACCAACTAAATATAAACATAACAAAGTCACAATGTCTCAGAGACAACAGACCACCATGGTCCACACAACAAAGCAAGATAAAGCAGTAGAAACAAGGGAGAAGGCTACAAATCCGGAACATACTCCTGGGCAAGAAGCAGCATTGGAACTCCCTGATAAGGAATTCAAAAGAATTATACTTAGGTACTTTCAACAGACTGAGAGACAGATAAGGAAAACACTGACAAAACCCTCAAATAATTTTGGAAGAAAATACAAGAACAAAATGACAAAATAAATGAAAAATTAGAAATGATACAAAATCTACACACAGAAATATAGAAGATTAATACTAATTTTTTTCAGAAAAAGATAAACATTCAAAGGGCAAAGGAGTGGAATCAAATCAATGGAAGACAGAATTAATGAGATTGAAGACAAATATCTCAATACTTCTTTGGAAAGGGATCTCTCAGAAAAAAGATCAAAATAACATGAAGAAAGCCTAAGGTTCATGTGGGATACCATCAAAAGGAATAACCTACGTATAATTGGAATTCCAGACCAGGAAGAGAAAATAAAACCACTAAGAAAACTGTCCAAGATTTGTTGGAAAAGAACTTCCCTGATATGATGAAAGATAAGACTGCAGCCATTTAGGAAGTCCCATGAACCCCAAACATGATAGACCCCAAAAGAAAATCACCAAGACATATCATCAAACTCACCAAAACCAAAGAGAAAGAAAGAATCCTGAAAGCAGCACGAGAAAAACAAAAAGTTACTTAAATAGACAACCAATAAGACTAAGCTCTGATTTTTCAGCAGAAACCACGAAGGCAAGAAGGCAATGGGATGACATATATAAAACCCTGAAAGATAAAACTTTCCAACCAAGAATTACATATTCAGCAAAATTGTCCCTCACATATGATGGTGCAATTAAGAGATTTCCAGATAAGTAGAAATTAAGGGAATCTGTTAAAAACAGACCAACCTTAGAATAAACACTAAAGGAAGTCCTTTGATCAGAGAACCAATAAAAGCAAACAACCGAACATTAATACACATGATGACATAACCCAGAAACCAAACCAGTTATGGAAGTATACAAAGAAAAGTAAGCTTACAAGATTGTAAACATGGAACCAGACATATCAACTGGCAAATGAGGACAATTACAAAACAAAAGGAGGGAAAAATCAGTGTAGTTACAGAACTTCTAAATGGTGAGGAAGTCAAGAGAGCTGCAAGATAGAATGGACTGTTTTAAACTCAGAGAGGAAATTATGAATCACAGGGTAACCTCAAAGGAAAATGATAAACATCACAAAAAAAAAGGACAAGCACAAATATTTAGCAAATATTAAAATAACAACAACGGGAGGCGGGGCAAGATGGCGGACTAGGCAGAAGGATTGCACAGACCCTCTTCAACAAAGAAAAGGGAAAACAATTAACACAGACACAGAAGATAATCTTGGACCCCTGAGCCTTGAAGGAAAGGATGCAGAATTGGACTAAACCCCAACTAGCAGAAGAATTTGCG